GCTAAGCAATTACGCTTCGAGCTTATTTTTCATCCTTAGGTCCGTTCATAATGATCCTAATTACATGTGTCGGCAAAAGCTGGGACGTGCGAGGCAATTTCGCGCAGTAGGCAAGTTGGATCGAACTTGGCCTCTTGGGACTGAATTTCGGTCAAACTCAAGTGCACCTCGGAGATGCTCATCCCTAGCGTTCAAGCTCAGGAGCTTACGTATTTTGGTGCATGTGTGTGAGACCATAGCGTTGAAGCCGTGTGAGAATGCACGCTCGACCGCCGAATTATTGCTATTTCCTGCTCAACGGCATTCAACCCCCTCTCTTTCCCCGTTGATATACGTCTACTTTCGCTACTATAACTATGATAACTACACCGCATATATCCACTCGACGGTAGAATTTTAAATTAACGACGGCCGTACTGCAGATAATTATATTTTCCGAGTGATCTTTATACGTAGCGTGTAATCGCAGCTTCTACTTTTCTTCATTGGTCAACACAGTATAGTATAGAAATATGAAATTGAATACTGTTAGTTCGAGTTCGCTATTTCTACGTAATCTATGATTTTCTTACATATAATTATTCATGTTTCACGCTAAGTTGATAAACTGCTCTGATCAACCCATCTATATTTATGTTTAGCAGGCATCATTATAAGAAAAGTTTATCTGGAAATAGAGTGAAATATTGGTAAATTTACGTCAACATTCGTAATAAATGTCTACAATTTCTTGACAATTCTTATGAATTTCTATAATAAAATGATTCTAATAATAAAGTATTGATATTTGATATAAAATAAATATAATTCGAATTATTATATTTAAAAAGTTTTTAATCCTTTTACATAAGGTATATGTGTTTATGATAATTTTTCTTAGTTTAACAGAAATATGATAATCATAATGAAATCATAGCTTATAAACTTAGATCGCAATGAATGCTTTAAGAGTTTCCTGGAAAATACGCTTAATGTTTAATCCTACAAACAAAGTATTTTCATACTTATCAGATAGTATAGAACTCTACATATAAATGATACAGAAGATTCTCAAAAAAATTACCATAGCTGGAATATGCTGCAATTTTTCTTAACTATGTTGATTACATGGACGATTTTTGGAGTAGATGATGGCAGAAAATAAAGTAGTTCATTTATCTGATATCTAACTGCTGTATCATTTCGTGCTAATTATGTAGCTTTTCACTAAGTCTTTAATTTTTCAATTATTTTTCATGATTTTAATGATTGTCAAAATATAATATATAAGCATATGATTACGAATATTCGAGCATATGATTTTCATTGCTAATTATTACATTAATTTACTGACTACATTTAATAATAAATATGTTTTTTAAACTTTTAACTACATATATATAAGTAAGAAATTTTATAAGTTTTTTTTAAACATTAAAATAGTTGCATTTTAATAATGTATTAAATAACCTATTAAAATTAGTCTTATTAATTAAAATTAATTCCTTATACATTTTTGCTATAATAATAAAAAGAATTTTATCTTATATATTATGTGGATAGAAGTAATGGAATATTTTATTAATTAATTTTTTTTTACACAAGAATTAACAGTTCTTTCAATAATACATATTTCAAATATGAAAAGTCACTCAAAAATAGAATGACTCGGCAATCGGCTTACAAACGAATAAAGTCCTCTGACTCGCTGTCCCTCTCCCGGTCTCCTACTCTCTTTCACTCTGCCTCTATCTATCTCAGTCAGTCTGAGAAAAGGTAAAATTCAAAAGTATTTATTTAACGGTCGAAATGCAAAATGTTGTGATTTTAGCATGTGTCATATCAAGCGGGGCACTGCTCATCGGCAACAAAGCGACCTTCTCGGCTTGTAGAGCACCGAAGCGACACGCTCGTCGTCGCGAGACTCAGCCGTGTGACATTTCATGACGAGCGTTTTTTTTTCTTTCTTTAACCCTCTTTCATTTCATGTATACACACGTTCGCACAGAACAGCTCGCATTATAGGCGTGAAAAGTGTTTCACAATCAACCTATCCAACGTAATAACATCATGACACGACATAATTTTACATTGGCTTAGTTAGCCGTATTTTTTAAATCTCCCGTAAAGTGTCCTCTTACGTCGTTTAGAAAACTAAAAATCACTTCCTTTTTATGCAACGTGAGTTTTTTTTTAAGTGACGCTGTTTCTGTTATTTATAGGTGTCTAATGATACCGAAATTATTCAGGTGAATCGTGACCTGCTAGTTTATTTCATTCACGGTACTTGTAATTTCAGAATATTTGTATGCCTATGTATTAAGCTAATAACATTGTAAGTTCTATATATCATATACTAGTAGTAAAGTATAATGATATCAAATTTTTATATTTTTAATATTTTATAAGTAATGTAAAGGTACTTCTTTAGATTGCAACTATTTAGAAAACTTATTGAAAAACTTTAATTTAATCATTATTGAAAAATTTATTTTAAATAATAGGAGATCTCTGAAAGGAACACATTGGTGCAATAATTTAAAATAATTTCTTTAAATATAGACTGTAAATATTAAATTATTTGTTTAATAGATTCTAGATCACCTGTTTGATAATGATATATATTGAGGAGGATGGGACATTATTCAAAAGTATGCGTATGTTTTTAAGATATAAAGTTTAAGAAATGGCAGTTAAAGTAACGAAACCTATAAAAAGCCAATTTTCACGAGATAACATAGGCTTGTGCGTGTATTATTTCTATGGTTTATTTATTGAATGAAGACATTAACGCTGTGTTCCACGTATAATAGTAAAGAGAAACACTTGCCAGATCACCAAACATCAAATGACCACAATTCCAACAAAATGACGTAACTTCTAAATCGGATAAAACCGTCTTGATTCAAAATATACATTGAATCTTACGTGTTTTAATTTTAGATAATTTAAAAGAGCAATATATTTATAATCTACAACTCATGAAATCGTGAGAAACTATATATTATAATTATTATTTAATAAGTACTAATGGATTTATGCATAATCATTACATGTTTTAGTTATTGATTGTTTCAATAGATTATATTAATTAGAGTAATTGATTTCTTTTTTATTATTCGTTAAGAGATTATTGATAATTAAATTTATGATTTTTTGATTTTATAGAATAATGTATAAATATGAAATAACTGGAATTATAATGTAAACCGATCAATTGAGTAAAGGTGAATATACGTTTACAAATACCATCACGTCTGACTCGTTAAACCGGTTACTACTTATCATATATAATTTATTGGTAATTTGCATATTCTTTTATTTTTGAGCTTTTATATATTAAGATCAGCTTTTGAGATTAAACTTTAGAAATATTGTTAAATGTTATTTTTTTCAAATATTGTATAATATGTTTAATAATTCTAATTTGACTATTCCCGTACAAAAGTAAATTCTTTTCATACATACATCAATAGTAAAAGTGATATATATATATATATATATATATATATATAAGCCTTTTATTTTTAATAAAATGAGGCTTGTTCGTGTAGTCTTATAAAAGCTGTTTCTAAAAATTTATTGGTTTGTTAAGTGTATTTTTTTTTAATATAAGAATATTAATATCGTTGTTACAAAACAAAAGTATTATTCGATAAGTTGAAAATCTTTTCAAGTAAATCTAAAACGATACAATATCGCACATATTTATAAAATATCGTGTGAGATTCAAGATTTATTTATTTGAAGAAAAAATACATGTGAGCAAGCCGTATTAGAAATATAGCTTAAAACACATTCACTACTTCTTCCAGCATTTAATTTCGAACTG